TATGTATATATATATATGTATATATATATATACATATATATATACATATATATATATATATATATATATATATATATATATATTTGTCTTATGTAACACGATGAAATTATTTAGCTATTATGTTTACATAAGTAATAATTATAAATACATCAGAATAGTTAGACAATATTCAAGTACCCAAAAAATTCTTCAAAAAAAAGGAAAGTACCTAAAAAGACATGAAGATTGGTTGCAAGTTGATCATATTCAAATTTAATCTAATCTAATACAATATAAATAGACAAAAAGATAAGATTAAATATGATATTAGGATAATACATAATTTTATTTAGTATTTGACAATACACAACATAATCATTGGATAGTAATTATTTAGTACAAATCGTTATTTGGTTAGAAAAATATTTTATCGTATTAATGTTGGATTAATAAAAATATCCTTAATCAATGTTTAGAATGTTGATGATAGCTTCGTTTTATAAGTTTTGGGGTTTAAAATAATAAATGTGTACAATAATACATTTGAATTAAATTATAATATCATTCCTCCTACTGGTATTAAAATTCTCCTACATTACAGGTTTATGGTACAAAAAATATTACAATAAGTTTACAATTAGTATACGTTTTTAAAATTTATGGAATCAAATTTGTCTACCAAATAAAGTATTAAACCAAATAAATAAATAATGATATTTTTAAAATATTGTAATGTCATACTTATATTACCTTTCATTGCTTATTCTACTAAAATTTACTGCATTTGATGTTGATAAAATGAGTAGCGAAAAGTAATAGAAAAATTATATTACACCACTTGTTTTTTTTTTTTTGAATCAGGTTTTGACCACGTATCAACAGAAGGTGTACTGTGGCTTTTTGGTGGGCATATCATGTGCTTCTTTACCATCATGCCCTAATCACATCTCTCCCAGACAACACCTATCCCATCCCGGATCCGGCTCCTCTGCTGTTCTTTTTAAACGGCACAGTTTGGTGCCTTTTTTTAATCACCTGCAAATGACACCAGTAAATAGAAATTGTAATTACCTGTCTATTGGTCAAAATTATAAGTTTTTCAAGTAAAAGTTTTGCATTAGAAAAACATATGATTAAAGTTTATATTCAATTAAATTTATTTTTGGAATTAATTAAATCACCAAAAAATTATTTTTTTGGTACAATATTTTAGCTTTTCTAATGAAAAAAATGTGACGCATTCAAAATTTTCATATTATGTGACAAAGTGCAAAACTATGACAAAATATAGTATCATATTTTAATTTTTCAGCCAATAAAAATGTAGGATTTATATTTTATTTTTGCAACACATATTTGAATTTATTAACATAAAAAAATTATATTTGAATTCGTTAAAATAAAAAATTCAATTTGATCCGAATAACTTTGAAATAAAATTTTAGCAAATTACATCATAATTTTGAAACAATCTCATCAAATAATTATTTTATTTTATACATATAATTCAGGTCGGATAACAATCCTAATAAAATTTAGATATATCCAATATCCAAAATCGTAAACTGAAATATAATCAACTAATGTTCGGAATCGAATTTGAAATATAATAAATTTATTTTTTGTCTAGCAAATATACTCGGATCAGTTCATTTTTTTTTTATTTTTAATGGATTCAAATGTGTTGTAAAAATAAAATATAAATATTTTACATATCCCACATTTTTATTGGATGAAAAGTTAAAATATGATACGATATTTTGTCATAGTTATGCATTTTGTCATATAATATGAAAATTTTGAACGCTTCACATTTTTTTCATTAGAAAAGCTAAAATATTGTACCAAAAAAATAATTTTTTGGTAATTTAATTAATTCCAAAAATAAATTTAATTGAATATAAACTTTAATCATATGTTTTTATTTTTTATTTTTAATGGATTCAAATGTGTTATTTGCAGGTGATTAAAAAAAGCACCAAACGGTGCCGTTTAAAGGTACAGCAGGGGCTGCAGTTCGCCAGGAACAGCAGAGGAGCCGAATCCATCCCATTACCCTGATTAGTCCACCCATCAATTGTACAACTCTCTCTCTCTCTCTCTCTCTCTCTCTCTCTCTCTCTCATAACCACAATTTGCAGGATTTGATTACGGAATTATTACTTTTTTCCAATATTATACTGCTATTTATCATATTTGTAACTATTTTTATTATATTTAAGTATACTTTTATTATAGTTATGGTATCCAAAAAAATAATAAAAATACTCACAAATGTTATAAATATACTTATAAATGTAATAAATCATCCACAATAGTTATTACAAATATGGCAAAAATATTTATAAAAGTGATAAATTTTTTAATTATAAAAATATCATTTAAAATAATAAAATTTTAAGAAATGATACCAATTTTTTTTTTGACAGTACAATAATCAAATCTCTATTTATATATCTCTACTCTCCTTTCCCTCATCATTCAACAAATCGTGTTGATTAAACGTCAACAAATCGTATGCAATTGAGGGCGGGGGTACAACTATGATACCATTTTTTGAACCGTGTTAGAAATTATACATTTTTAAAGTCAAGTTATTATTTTTTTTAAGTTGTAAATTATAACTTACAAAAAATATAATCAATTCTAAAATATTGTGATCCACCAAAAAAGTTATAATTTTCAAATTTTAAGTTATAACTTATAAATGAAAAATTGCATTAATGGTTCAAGAGAATCTCATGATTGATTATAAACTTTATCAACTAATTATTGTAATTTTATCTTTTTGATGTGTAACCTTGTCATTATGATAACTATGTATTTTCTTTGTTCCTTTAAGAAAAGTAGCCGTCCAACTCTTATCTAATATTGAAGAATATTGATTAGGACATGCTACTAATCTTTTCTTTTTCGATGGTCAGAAGTGTTCGAGAGAATTTACGTGTACTTCGACTAATCCTTTCATCTGT